GGGCGGGCAGGAGCTGCGGGAGCACTGCGAGACGCTGCGCGCCCTGCGGTCGCACGCTTCTCCGAGCTCGCCACAGCAGTCCCCGAGCGGGGATCTCTCGCGCCTGCTGTTGGACCTCGCCGCCGCCGTCGTCGCCACCGCCGCCGCCTTCGTGGCCACCGCCATTGTCGTCGCCGTCGTCATCGCCTCCCTGGGCTTGAGGTGCTCCCTTGCGCTCTCGGTGGCGGTCTGAGGGGCCCAGCTTCCAGATCGTGCTGGAGGGGGGTGGGAAGAGGAGGAGAAGGAGGATAATGATGATGCAGGAGGAGATAGAGGAGGAGGAGGAGGAAGAGGAGGAGGCGGAGGAGGACGAGGAGGACGAGGAGGAGGAACAGGAGAAGGAGGAGAAGGTTGATGATGATGATGATGATGATGATGATGATGAAGATGATGGTGATGATGATGATGATGATGATGAGGAGGAGGAGGAGGAGGAGGAGGAGGAGGAGGAGGCGGGTCAGAAGCGAGGAGCAAAGTCCTCTTTCTTAGCTATACTATTATACTTCCTTCCTCCCTTCCCTCCTATCGTCCTTCCCTCGTGCCTTCGTTCCCCCTTGAGATCCGACGCCGCGAGACAAAATGCAGCATCGCGACAAAACATCGCGACCTGAGCTCTGGACCCCACTTGTCAGATGCCCTTGTCCGAGTCGTCTATGAACGCCTCCGGGGCCCGACAAACTAGCTGAAAACGCCCGCTGTGCAGACACTGCCCTAGACATGCGACGTCCTGTTTTTTTCAATGCGGGGTCCCTGAAAGTTCCGACCCTTTCCCCGGGACCGGTTTTTCATCCCGACCGAGTCGTTGTTTGAGGTCCCGAGGCCCAGCGAGGGTCCCCCAAGGCCGAAAATTACCAAAAACCTCCCGTCCTGATTTTTCACGACGCGATCATGTCTGGGTCCGCCTCGCTGCCGACGGACAAAAAGCGTGGGCACGGGCGGGACCGGCTGCGCGTGAGAGAGGAGGAGGAGGAGGAGGAGGAGGAGCAGGAGCAGGAGGAGGAGCAGGAGGAGGAGGAGGAGGAGGAGGAGGAGGAGGAGGAAGGAGGAAGCGGAGGAGGAGGAGGCGAAGGAGGAGCAGGATCAGGAGCAGGAGCAGAGCAGGAGGAGAGGAGGAGAAGGAGGAGGAGGAGGAGGAGCAGGAGCAGGAGCAGGAGGAGGAGGAGGAGGCCGCGCGAGCATGTCTGGGGCAGCGCCTGCATCTCCGGGTCCTCCGTGCCGTGGCCCACGAGTCCGGGTGGTCTGCAGGCTCCGCCTCTCTTTTTCGGCGGGGAGGGCCGGGGCGCTTCGGAGCCTCGGAGGGCACCGCAGCGCCCCGGGGACGCGCGCCGTGCTCGGACCCAGAGTTCCCAGACCCTCCTCCTCCTCCTCCTCCGCCTCCGCCACTCCTCCTCCTGCCCCTCCTCCTCCGACTCCCCTCTCTCCTCCTCCTCCTCCTCCTCCTCCTCCACCTCCACCTTCCTCCTCCTCCTCCGCCTCCTCATCCTCCTCCTCCCTCTCCTCCTCCTCCTCCTCCTCCTCCCTCCTCCTCCCTCCTCCTCCTGCTCCTCCTCGCCGCCTCCTCCTCCTCCTTCTCTCCTCCTCCGCCTCCTCCTGCTCCTCCTCCGCCTCCTCCTCCGCCTCCTCGTCCTGCTCCGCCTCCTCCTCCTCCGCCTCCTCCTCCTCCTCCTTCTCCTCCTCCTCCTCCCCCCCCCTGCCATCAGAGGAGGGGCGGGTCACCCAGGGCCCCTTGGGATTTTGGACGAAAAATTGAAATAGTCAAACAATATCGCAAATATGTTCAACAAGTATTGAAAAATCGTTCCCAGGCTATGTTTTGACTATGTTTGAATATTCCTCCTGTAGAGGGACAGGCCCGACTATCGGCTCAGGATGAAGAGCCCGTCCCGGGGAAAGGGTCCAGACCGCTGGGGTCCGCGTTGCCCAGAAATCACGACGTCGGGGGTCTGGGTTTGGGTCTCTTGATCTGTCCCGGGCGGTGGCCCCAGATGTCCCGACCCCTTCCCTGAGATCTGTGCGTTGTGGCTTTTTCACAAGGGGCGCTCTCGCCAGGTTTCGGGGCCTGGGACCATCACAGATCGATCGGATCGATCTGAGAGGGGCCGCTGGACTCCACTGGCACAGGATTTGTTGCCCACCCACTTGTCCCGCGCCAGTTTTTTTCCCGCATTCGGTTTCAACATCAAACAACTCCCCAAAAAATCTGTCCCGCGCCAGCAAGGCAGGCATCGGTTGTCGGGGGGGGGGGTCGCCGCGATCAATCGTGCGGGAGGGGTCACCCTTGCAAGCCAGTCGATGACCTGGGCGTCTTTCTGCGTCCAAGCGTCATCGTTAACTTCGTCGCATCGTCGCCGCGGTCTCGTCGCGACGTGGATCGATAACGTGGCGCATGCAGTCGCGCCCGCCAGGTTCTGACGAGCAATTGGAGCGAATGTGCGCAGATGAGGCGCGCGACGGAACCCCGTGAAAATGATTGACGCTGCGCGCGCTCCCACCAGCCCGTCCAGAAACGATCCACGCGCGAGTTACCCTGGCCAGGGAAACGCAGCGGCATGTAGCCCATTCGTAAATCACATAAGAGGCGGAGGCGGAGGAGGAGAAGGGCGAGCAGGAAACAGAGGAAGTAGTGAGGGACGTAGCCCATCCAGGAACAATTCCCAGGGGAGTCGTCTGGAGGAGGGGCGTCGGTGAGAACAGAGTGAAACAAGGAGGCGAATTGCGGTGAAGTTTCGCACCAGGGAGCCGCTTGGAGCCATCTTGGGGCAATGTTGGAAGCCTTTGCGGCTCTCTTGGGCACTTGGGACCCTCATGGGGCCCTTTTGGGGCTCTCTCAGGGCGTTTTCCGGGGTGTTGCCTCTTGGGGTCTTTTTGGAGGCCATCGATCAAAAAAACTGGGGTTCTTCACGTCAGCCCCCCCGTCGGGAACTGACACATATTGGGGCGCTCTTCAGGCGCTCTCGGGCGCTCCTGGGGCTGTCGTGGAGCCCACTTAGTCTCCTGCTGAGGCTCTCTTGTGCGGTCTTGGAGCCATCGTGCGCTCTGGAGCTGAACGGAAGCGACACGACGCGAAAACAGATACCATCGGATCCTTTCAACTCTAGAGGGATGTCTGACTTCTCGGAAGCGTTCTTGGAAGACTGCGTGGCAATTTGGAGTTGTCTTGAGGCGGTATTGAGCCTATTCGAGGCATGTGGGAGTCTATCTTAAAACACGTTAGGGTATTTTGTGCCATCTTGGGGGCCATCTTGGGTTTTCTGAGGCCCATTTGCAAGCCCTCCATCGTTGACCCTCCTGGAAACGTGCCGCGAGGGACATCAAACCAACGCATCAAACTCGCATTTATTGGGCGCGGCGCTTCCGGTGCACACTGGTGCTGGTGAATCTGGCGCACTTGGTGTACACTGGCGTTTCGCCTGAGACATCCTCAAGTCTTCGTCCCGGTGTACACCATGTGCGTGCCGGGGGGGCGTCCCAATGTGCACCAAGGGTGAGCCTCTGCGCTACCTTCCTCCTCATCTCCCCCTCTCCCCCCGTCCTTGTCCCCTCGCTCCCTACCAACCCCCTCCTTGCCCCCTCTCCCCCCTCCTCCTCTCCCCCCCTTGCCCCCTCTCCCCCCTCCCTCGCTCCCCCTCTCCCCCCTCCTTGCCCCCTCTCCCCCCTCCTTGTCCCCTCGCTCCCTACCAACCCCCCTTCAGCGCCCTCCTGAGATCTGGGATGGCTCCCCCCTCGGCCCTCTCCTGAGATTTAAGCCAGGGCGCGGCGCGCCGGGCTCACGGGGGACGCCGCGCGTGCTGGCGAACATCGCCTCTGCCTGGGCTCCGATTTCTCGACGCTTCCCGTGTCCCTCCCAGGAGGATCGTGAGCCGCCTGATCCGCGGCCCTGCGCGCGTTAGGTAATTTAGTCGCGTCCGCGGCCCGTTCGCGACCTTCCGCCGCTGGCGCTTCCGCCTGCGGCTGTAAAAAAAAAAGTCCCTCCCAGGCCATCCAGAAGCGATTCCCGCGCTGTCGGATGACTGTGTTGACTACGTCCACGGCTCCTGACGGCGGTGCCCACGGCACTCTCGTGCTTACTCGACCCCGTGCCCGAGACGAAGATTGCCCTGGTCCCGGTCAGCTCTCAGACGTCGTCGACCCTGTTCGTGAGTGCGCTTGGCTGTCTCTGATCCGGTGGCTCAGGCGCGTTACGGTGTCGATCACATCCATCGTTCCCCCGGCTACTCCGCTGGACCGCCCGGGTTCAGCCCCTGGACGGTTGTCTGCAGGATCAGTGTTCCCTTCAAGAGTCTCGGTGTGCGACTTTGGTGGCGCCACCCCATGCACTAGTCCCATGGCCAGAGAGTTCTCCTGGTTAACTGGTGTAGCGTACTGGTAGTGGTCTTCATGGCCACATCCTGGTACCACCACCGCGCCATTTCGGCTGCGCCCCAACCCTGGTTGGGTAATCGTGCATGTGCGCGCTCCTGGGCCTGGTTCCTGGCAGCTGCAGCCCGCCCCCTTTCACGCTGGCTCGCCCGCTTAGGTGCTGCTTAGGTCGCCGGCCCGTCGGCGTTAGGCAATTAGGCTCGTGCGCGGCCCGCTCGGACCCTACTCGCCGCTGGCGCTCTCGCCTGCGGCCGCGACAAAAAAAACACCAGGCCATCCAGAAGCGATTCCCGCGCGAGCTGCCCTGATCAGAGAAGTGTAGCAGCATGTAGCCCATTGGTACGCCACACAAGAGGCGGAGGAGGAGGAGGATGAGGAGGAGGGCAGGAGAAGAGGAGATAGAAAAGGCGATACTCCAGAAACGATGCCCAGGCGAGCTGTCTACGTAGAGGTGGGGCGATGTCAGGGATTCTCCAAGGCTGGCGTTTCCTTCCGAGCCGTTGTTTGGTGGTCCTGGGGTCCGGCGAGGCATACAAAGGCAACCCAGATTCGGCTCCGATGTTGCAACATGTTGGCGGACTTGTGGCGCAGAAGCTCCGGCAATGTGCTGTGCTTCGACCTCGCAGGTGCGTGGGGCGGCGGAGTTTTCTCAAGCCCTGCCAGCGAGCCAGTACTTCTTGGTGGTGGTGGCGTCACTCGGTATCGTTCAACCGATCCCCATCGCCATCCCCATCCCCTTCGAGACCCCCACCAAATTACCCCCCAGTTGGGGATACACCCCTCGATACTCGAAGGGAAGGGCCTATATGCCCATTTAGGGGTGTGAATCGGCCAGTGGGGCCCAGGCCACGCCGCTGGGGACGGGGATCGGTTCAACGATACTCAGTCACCGTCATCATTCAGACTTCTCCTCGTCCTGCCTTCGGGTCTCAGGACGAAAGCGCCGCGCGCCAGTACGAGGAGTACTACCGCGCCGGCTTCTCCGACGCGGCCAGGTCGTTCGAGGCGAGGCGCGAAGAGGTCTTGAGGAGGCATTGGCGCCGCCGCCTCCCTCCTCATCTCTCCTCCTTCCTCCGCCCTCCCTCCTCCCCTTCCTCCCACACTCCCTCCCTTCCTTCCTTCCTTCCTCCCTCATCCTCCTCCTCCTCCTCCTCCTCCTTCTCCTCCACAGCTACGTGCGCTCCTCCCTCCCTCCCTCC